CATAAAAAAACGATAGTATTTTAACACAATTGTTTACAATACAAGATACCTATACAGTAATCAATTTTTAAATTGCTATTGCCTTATAAATTTCTGCTGTTCTTATTAAAAATAAAATTTGTGAAATTTTACAAATTAGTTGGTACTATAAATAATTTACTGGAAGATATTTTAATGTATTATCTCATAAGTGTGTTATTTTCCATAATAATTTATAAAGTGAGCCCTCTATAGTCTGATTACACACATTCATATATACAGTAATAGAACTTGGGTAGCAAGATAGCTGATCAAAATCAGTATTTGCAGTCAGTAGATTAATAGAAATTAAATGTAGATTTATTTTATAGTTATTGTGTATAAACTAAACTGTAAATCTGAAATAATAGGCTTCCTGTTATACCAAAGACAAAATCAAATGTTACTGCAGCTTCCTTGGTAATGAGCCAAGGAGGTATCAAATTTGGTACAGTGTTGACATTATGGGTCATTTGCCTACAAAATAACTGATTGTGATTGGTGGACACTTTACCAGAATACCATTGGTTGAAATTGTGAGAATGCCATTGGTTAGAATTTAGAAAGATGTCATTGGAGTAAACTTAAAATCACTTTAACAGTGAGACATAGATAGCATAGATATGGATTTGGTAGAATTTTCAGAAGGTTGGTAGTCACTTTTTAGGGCTATGTTGTTGAGCTATGGTAAGCTACATATTTTGGAAGCTTGGAGGCTTTGGAGAGATGACAACATAAATGTTTTTTTTTAAATTTTTTTATGAGGGAGAGTGGGCCATTTTGTAACCTTCAGAAAAAGATTAAAAAGACTCCTACATAGAAGTGGAGTCGAATAGCAAGGGGAGGGGGGACTTTTTTGGAAGGTCAAAAAAAAGAAGAAAGAAAAAGAAAAAATGCCTCAGAGGTTATTTTCGGGTGTCTAGAACACAAAATATTCGCGGGGGAATTCCCCCGGACTCCCTAGGATGGCGTTATTTCGATTGGCCCCACTTTCGGCCCCCACCTTTTGGACATCTCCGGACCCACCCCTGTAGCTAGTGGTTAAGATGCTTGCTTTCTAATCTCATAGTTCAATTCCTGTCTCAACAGGACTTTTTCTCACAACTAAAAAAGATGGGGATAAAAATAACTAAAAACAACTCCACTCCCTAGGCCTCTATAACCAACTTGGTTTATAAAGCGTCATTCCATCCTTGAAATGGCGAGTATAATAGAGGAGGCCCAGGGAGAATCACTCACTCAGCCCCACCATGGTTCGGGATGGGGCTGAGGTAAGAAATTTTACGATTATGGCAATTCTGTATGGCCGAAGATGGCACTCTCAGAGTTAAATATGAATGTAATTTTCTTTCTTCCTCCATTTAAAAAAAAAAATCATTTTAAAGAATTTTTTTTTGGGGGGGGGGGGGAACGGTTGGCTAGCTGGGCCACTTCACTTGAATCCGCCATTCTAAATACTTGTTGCCTATGATGATGTTTTGGATAGGTACAATGTCCCTTCTAATTTGAGACCACATTTGGGACCTGGAAGTTTGGGATGGTCTCAGGGCTCTGCCTCCAGTTAGAGCGTAGGCTTTGTGTTAAAAATTGAAGATTGTACTTAGAAAAAGTGGTCTGGATTACGGGTTATTGAATTGGAGGATAAATACTTGTGTATGATAGGCACAAAACTTAAAATAACTACTTATTAGGTTTTTTTTATTATGGTGAACTGTAGTTGAATAACAAAATTTTAAAAAGAAAGCAACTCAAAGAAAGGATCCTACAAAAAAACCAGAAACCTTTTCACATTTTATCATTTGTTTTTAGTAGGTTTAAAGAGCACAAAACTATATTGTTGATAAATATCAGTCCAATGCAGAGATGAGTTGAATGTGTAATGCCGAGAGATGTACAGCACGATTACGTTGACATAAAAGATATGTACCTTTCCAAACAATCAAACAAAAGAAATTGATTTCAATAACTATACCCGCTACTCAACAAATGCACATCAGCATACAACAAACAATAGTAATCCCAACCGAGCACATTGGGAACAAATTATGACACACAAAGCATGAACGGCAGCCTACCGAACACATCAGTGTGAAATTGTGTAGGAGGGAAAAATTGTATTTGTTCAACCTGACAATGACCTTAAAATGATGAATCCTGTATTGAACTATAATCAATATTTGTCAAAGTTGCTACCATGTTGCACTTGTTTCAGGATGTTTCTCGGTAGCAGTGCATTCAAATGATTTGTTAAACACTCAGACTACACTGTAGCAATAATATAAACTTGTATTTTTTTTTGTATTTATCACCACAAATCTAATAAAATTGTAACAATTTTGGAAAACCTTAACAACCAGGTGACAAAAGAAATCCAATTTGCCTGTGCAGCGATTCATTTTACTTTTCATAATTTTCATTTATTTTTTTTTCTGATTATTCATAATTGGTTTTGTTTTTTTACTAAATTTGTAATTCCATCAAGCCTAATTGTTCCATGTCAACATATTTGAGTATTTTATTTTTCATCATTGTTCTAATGACATGTCATTAATAAATTGAATATTAATGCATAGTGCTTTAATAAAAACCCACTTTAAATAGATAAAATCTGATTTTAATTAGGCCAACCTGTATTTTATTATATTACAGTAGACACAACATGTTCAGTTGAATGGCTAACAGTTAAGGTAGGGGCGGCCATACAGCCATAATATCAGAGGTTGCACATTCACATTAGCACATTCGCCTATGGTCCTAGTCGTGGAACAAGTATTCTTGGATAGGGCTATGGTAGGCCCAGTGTAAACAACTGGTTCATGGACAATCGTTACTCAATTCTATATTGTATATATTTTTATGTTTAAACTGTATACCACTTTGGAAAATCAGTGCAATAGTACTGAAAGTGCCTACAGTATAAAGAAAGAATAAATAAAATGCATACAGAACATAATAATAATAATAATAATAATAACAATAACAATAACAATAATAATAATATGCTGTATTTAAACACGGACACACTTTAATCACCCATGGGTGTTTTTCATCAAGGCCATGCATAATAAGAAGAAACAAATTTATTGAAAACAAAATGAATTAAAAAAAACAAGAAAAACACAGCATCGTAACTACCAGCGAAACTACTGTATCCCTTGCCGGGTACACCAACCCAGTATTTCTAAGTTTCGGGAATGACAATGAATGAAATCAGAAGTTATTTAAGATACATTGCATGAAAATATGTAAATTGGAAGAAAAGTTAAGAGTAGCTGCTGGTAGTCTTATGGAAGGAGGAACTACATTACATTGTTTGGCTTTAGATAAAAATAAAATTACCAAATAAGGCAATTACATGATGAATTTTGGAATTATCACGTTCATTGATTGTTCAATAATCAATTATTTATCAACTCATATGGAAAACTGGATGACCTATGTTCAAACAAAATGTGTCTGAACAACAAAAGCCCTTATTACATCAGAAACAGTTTTGATAGATTGACAAACAGAGGCCTTGAAGTACCGCGTAGGGCTACAAATGTCCAATATTTTCTCACGTCCTCTTCGAGTTACGCTTATCCTCATAAACTTGGCAACATGACATAGGATATGATGCTTGCACGATATAGGAATGAATTGTAGTGATGATGTCAAAAGCTGATTGTAAAAATGCGATTAAAAACAGACTGCTTCTCACACCCTAGGACAAACCAACATCCTGTAGGATATACAAGATCAATGCAGGTGACACTATTGACTAACACCTGGGCACACCTGTTGAATATCACATCTGTTTGTGATGCATGCAGGGATATTACAGATTGACAGTTTTTATTGTTTTTAAACTGATTATGACTAGTAGTAATAATATTGGTTGCTTAATAGTGCCCAGTAAGTGTGTTTTGATTAGGTTTATATATTGAGTCAAATATAAAACATATTGATTATAGTACAAATTAAATCATCATATCCCTAGTGTAGAATTGCATCACGATTACACAATCTTTATATTTTTTTAACCATTTTTACAGAGGGTGACATTCCAACCTATCCTGGAATGTCAACTGATATTCAGGAGGCCCTCTAAGTAAATGAAATAACATGAAGCTTTTACAGTCACAGGTAAAGTCACAGGACCCTGAGGTTGGAAGGCAAGCATCTTAACCACCAAGCTATTCAGCTCCACTCCCTAATATAAAGTTTTTATTTCGATTAGAACATGATATTCTCATAATATTGTCATATGCAATAAACAAAAAAAAATGAAATATATTTAAAAATATTCATAATTAGAAAATTGTATTATAGGGTGTGTTTCTATTGATAAACACAAAATAATAGATTTTTTACCGCTTTTTTAAAGAGTGCCAGACAGCCTGCCCACGTTGCAACTGCATTTTTGCTTTTACAAAAATCGGTTTTCATGGCGGAAATTACGTCACCATTTTGTTTTATTTAATCAATATTTTTTAATCACTTCTTTCGAACTGGTCCCGTTTCTACTGCGAGAAAAAAAGCAATTTTTTGAAAAAGCGGTTCTTAATCAATTTTTTCTTCCCAGTAGAAACAGGCCCTTATAGAGTGGTTTAACACAAAGTATGTTTAGTAAGTTGCTCATTGCATTGCTCAATCACCACTGTCACCCTCATCTTCATTGTCATTACCATCTAAGCAGTAATGAAGATTTGACATGCATAGAAATTGGACATAAATTGGGTGACAATAATAGAACAATATCACCCTGCATGCAATGAGGCATCTGAAATATATCCGTGAGGCATTTGAAAACATTTACTACACTAAGGCAAACATACCTCTGAACAATAGTTGTATGAGTACTTATTTTCTTCAAAGAACTGACAACAGATTTTAACAAATATGTTTTGCTTCATTCAGCTGAATTTAAAGATAGTTTAATTAAACAAAAAGTTTCAAACAGACTGTACAGTATCAATCACTTTAGAAATTTTTCAAAGGTATTTTTGTAGTAAATCGTTCCCCGGCACCAATAGCATTATAACAGTACGTAGAAAGATATTGGAACAAATTCGAAGAAGGAGACTGTTGATTTTACATGCTGTTAGAGAAATCTACAGGCACTAAAACAAGAAAACACTGCCTACAATAAACATGATCTGAAATATGTATTATGATATACAGTACGTTAACAAATATTATATATACAAACTCATCCCCAGAGATAAAGAAAACAAAATTGGTATGATATTACACTCCCATTAATATTATAATTACCATCAGAAAATGACAATTTCATAATATTGCTATAGATGCATGAATAAAGATATGAATTTTGAATTATATTTGAAAATTGCATTATAGAGTGGTTTCACTAATACAGTGCTTACCTTTTAATCTCAAAGCCCTTGGTTGAATCACTGCAGAAAATGACAGCATTTTTTACATCCAATACCTGCAAGAATTCAGGCAGAATTTGGTATATTATTATATCTATATTGGTTGAAAACTGGCAATAGTGATAAAAAAAAAAGTACAATACTGCTAAAACATTTTGAAGAAATTGAATGGAAATATATTAGGCTTAGGTAAGTACATACAGTGGCAAAGACAAGCCAAACCAGTCAGTCGTCGCAAATCCTGTTTCAGAGATACAGTAATGTCCAAAATATTCTGGAATGTCAAAATTTTGAAATCTATTTTATTGCACTAAGCTAACCTTTATCTATGTATCATGCTATACTATTATTTTCCCCATTTTCAATGTAAAAACAACAATCTTTAACTATTTGGTGATGGTTTCTGCCCAAGAAATGCCTGAAATCATAAACTTGGAAGGCTATTTCTCACATATTGTTATTTAAACAGTTGTACAGAGGCAGATCCAAGATTTGAAAGAGGGGGTTCTAAATTTTTCCCAAAAACCAGAAAAAGGGGGTTTGATTCCTAGATGGCCGGAAATGAGCTTTCCCGACTTTTGAGGTGTCTTTTAACGACCTTTAATTTCTTCAAAATTCAAGGTTTTACCCCTCTTAAAAAAAAGGTTAGGTGATTTTATCTCATTATTAGGCCTATACCATAGAAGAAAATCAAAGATAAAGTCAATATATTATTAGGCCTATATTCCAACAATATCGAGTACGATAGTTGGATACGTAGTCTTTCTTATAGATCGATGAACGGATAGGCCTGAAGAACACCTTGAACTCCTTGTACTAATAACTAAAAATCGGTTTTTGCGACCAGTGACTGGTTGGGCTTGTCTTTGCCACATATATTCATAATAAAAAAAGGGAGAGGGGGAAAAACAGATGTGTCATTAATCATGCATTTTCTAGTAAACTGAGACAAATAAGTGCAATACAGCTACAGAGCCTTTTGAATGGTTTACAAGATGACAACAATCATATTAGTAAGAATTTTTTATTATCGCTATTAGTCTGATTATTTAAACAAATATGCAGTTGGAAGCAAAAATCAGATAATATGAAGGTGTGTCCATGAGGAACATAAATGTGAGTTAGTTGACAAATGTAGGGGCCTAAGCAGCCAAAGTTTTTCCTAGTTTCAATTCATATGCCAAGGCATATGGGATGGGAATAAAAATCAACTGTAATGAAACACAAACAAACATACAGTATTTATTTTTAGATTAAATGCTTCCAGGTTCTTTCTTGAACCTCCAGGGCGAGAGTTCGCGTTCTGGCGACTACTCCCAGCAAGTTCATGTGCAATACAATTTTGGGTGTCTAGACAAGAATGGACATGAACTCGCGTCCATAGCGCCCACAGTGAAACCTGTTTTGGAAGTGAACTCTTGTTTCAGCAAACGTGTTAAAGAGTATTGCATGAATGTATGAAGCAACATCTTGAACTTCATATGTGAATCAATGGGAAGCCATTGAAGCTCTCAGACAACAGGGGGTGATGTGTGAGAGCTTAATAGCATATTAAATTATATGAATTTACTTTGAGTAAATTGTGCTTATAAACAAAATTCTTAATCCTTTTACAAAACACTCCTAATAATTCAGGTGCCTGTGTAATCAGTAGGCCTCTTGATGATTGATGAATACTGACTGTGGTGATATATGCTTGTGGTAAAAATGACTGCTCAAAACCCAGGTGCAAATTATACTTGACAGACTAATAAACTATTCATTAGTCAAAGCATCAAATATTGATGGTAAATATCTGTCCATTAGATGACCTACTCGTCATTCAAATAGACGATGAATAGAGACTGACAAGAATCAATGGATGTGTATAGGTGAGTGAATGGGGACTGGACACCACATGACATATAAATGACTAATTAATTCAGTATCTAAAAAGCACCCACTAAAATGGCAATGCCATGAGGACCAGAGGGCCACAGGTCCCCATCAGAGCACACTGGATCCCGACATCAGGAAAAAAAGCCATTTGATCCGAAAAACTGCTTTAAAAAAAGCATATTACAGTCTGTGTGCACTATTCCTAATAACTATTAAAATTTGCTCCAAACACAATAGGGCTGAGTTTCATTTTTGAACCATTAAAATGAACTCATCATTTGAGAACTTGGACCCCTCATCAGAGAACTTGAACCACTCATCAAAGAACTTGGACCACTCATCAGAGAACTTGGACCAATCATCTGACAACTTGGACCTCTCATCACAGAAATTGGACCTTCCATCAGAGAACTTGAACCAATCATCAGAGAACTTTGAACCCTCATCTGAGAACTTGTACCCTTGATCAAAAAATTTGTACCCCTCACCAATAAAATTGGACCTTAATTACTCATCAGGGAATTTCTTGTTCTGCACTGGCACCACCAAGAATGTTTACAGTATCTCAAGATTACTTATAATACCTATTCTTTGTTATATATTGTGACATTCATTTTCATGTTGTTAAAAAATATGTAAAATCAGAAAAAAAAAGTTGTTTGTTGTAAATTTTGTAATCCATTCAATGAGGAATTGATTGTCTTCATTCAATGTTTTAGAGCAGCAAGCATTCCGCAAACTTTTTAGACTGACGACCCAGTTAAGAAATTCAGACCATAGCTCGACCCACTGACATCTGTCACGCACAAGTCGGAGAGCGCTATACTGTGCTTACCATGTGTTTCATTTCAGTGCATTTTACTATAATTGTTTTGCAGCTAAATTGTGTCTCATTAAATTGTAATTAATTATAATAAAATATTCTGTCATACCATCGTTCATTGCATGATTGTGCTTGTACAATGTATGATTTTAATATTCCAACATATTGATTCTTGTCGGTGAAATGAACACGTGGTTGCGGTGGTGGCGTGATCAAAGATGGTATTTTATCACGCCCACTTTCTCATCCAAGTAGAGGAGTACTATATCAATTAGAAAAGCAAGGTGGATTGGTAGGCGGAGAATGATGTGAATGAACAAAATGTAATACGATCAAACCAAGAATGATAGCAAAACAGACCATTAACTTGGAACAGTTGTTAATCTTCAACATGTTGCGCTATATCAAAATCAAGATAAACTTCATCTTCAAAAGAACAATAATACATACTAATTTGTGCTTTTGTTCTTTTTATCTGCTAATTAAAACTTTATAATAGGCATATATATGTAGAACTATCAACCGCCACCATCCTGGTATTTCTAAGTCTGGTTTCAGGGTTGGGATTTGAGATTTATAGATTAACCAGCTTAGCACATGTAAGCTCTTTTCCAATAGTGATGCTTTTAGCTTTGGCAATTTGTTCCGCCACAAGGAAACTAGCCTTTAGACCACTCATCAGAGAACTTGGACCAGTCATAATCAGAGAAATCAGACTTCTCATCAGAGAATTTGCACCAATCATCAGACAACTTAGACCTCTCATCACAGAACTTGGACATTCCATCAGACGACTTGGACCTCTCATCACAGAAATTGGACCTTCCTCAGAGAATTTGAACCAATCATCAGAGAACTTGGAGCCCTCATCTGAGAACTTGTACCCTTGATCAAAAAATTTGTACCTCTCACCAATATAATTGGACCTTAGTTACTCATCAGGGAATTTCTGATTTCTTGTTCTGCACTGGCGCCACCAAGAATGTTTACAGTATCTCAAGTTTACTTATAATACCTATTATTTGTAATATAGATCCCTATATTGTCTGACATTCATTTTCATGTTGTTAAAAAAATATGTAAAATCAGAAAAAAAAAGTTGTTTGTTGTAGTAACTTTTGTAAAAAAGTGAAAAAAGTGAAATGAACACGTGGTTGCGGTGGTGGCGTGATCAAAGATGGTATTTTATCACGCCCACTTTCTCATCCAAGTAGAGGAGTACTATATCAATTAGAAAAGCAAGGTGGATTGGTAGGCGGAGAATGATGTGAATGAACAAAATGTAATACGATCAAACCAAGAATGATAGCAAAACAGACCATTAACTTGGAACAGTTGTTAATCTTCAACATGTTGCGCTATATCAAAATCAAGATAAACTTCATCTTCAAAAGAACAATAATACATATACTAATTTGTTTTTTTGTTCTTTTTATCTGCTAATTAAAATTTGATAATAGGCATATATATGTAGAACTATCAACCGCCACCATCCTGGTATTTCTAAGTCTGGTTTCAGGGTTGGGATTTGAGATTTATAGATTAACCAGCTTAGCACATGTAAGCTCTTTTCCAATAGTGATGCTTTTAGCTTTGGCAATTTGTTCCGCCACAAGGAAACTAGCCTTTAGTAAGTGGCTTATCTGAATTCGTGCTTTCCAAAATACTTTTACTGCTATGCAATTCATCACGCTTTTTCTCAAAGAAAGACGACGAATGTTTGTGTTAGAGGGCTAGATGTTTTGATTTCAAATGCCTTTTTAATTGAAATGGCTTCATTGACTCATATCATCCCATCATCAGAGCGGAAAACTTGGAATAAAGGTATGCGCACTCAGATAAGACATTTCATCAAGTTTAGTAATGGTCTTAGTTGCGAGATGACTTTTCAACAAAATATACCACAAAATTAACCGTATTTCAAGGTATCTAACTGCTGATATGGTTTCTGACCTAGCTAAAATTGTGATTTCTGTTAAGGTCTTGTGACCCACCAAAATATTTCAGCGACCCACAGTTTGCGGAACACTGTTTTACAGTTTTTCCATGCAAGATATGAATGAACTTCATTGCCTGTATGTTACTACTGTAATGACAAAAATTATGAACAGAAAACTAGATATATTAGCAGATTCATTAAATCTGGTATTTTCCACTATTAAAAATACTGTATACTTGAATACTGGATGCCCTGAAAAAACACAGCCCTGTAGAAAGATAACCCTCCAATCTAGGTTTGTTGCCAAATATTAATGAACGATGATATTGAGTCACTCAACTATGAAAAAACAGGATATTATAAGCATGTTGCCCATCCTAAATTAAGCTATCTCCTTCAGTATGTAAATTAATGTTATCTACTGCTATATCCAATAGCTCCCTCTTAATAAAAACGCTTATTTCCCCATATGTCTCCAAGACCTTATTATTGTTTTGCAAGAATAAGCACCAACTTTGATCAAAGGTGGGTAGCATGGTTTAAGCATAGGGTGGGCCACTCTAAAGTTTACGAGCAGGGTGAGCAACTCAGGCTGGGGCCAGGGAGTTACCTAGGCTGTTTGGTTGACGTGGAAGGGCCAAAACAGCCTGGAAAAATTACATGGCTTACCCAAAATGAAAACAACAGCTGAAAGATATTAATTTTGGCTATGTACATTCAGGCATATAAACAGTTCCACGTATTTGAGCAAGCTTGCAGAAATGCATAACTGTAATCTAAATTTTCATAAGTTTTCTCATCACTTAAGACTACTTTATAGTCTCATAAAGAGACTTTCGGAAATTAGTATGAAAATTGAAATGAGTTTTCTGACTTTAGGTCAGAAAGTAGACAAAAGTTGTGAAAAAAACTAACATCCCCTTTTTCCTCAAGTTATTTAAAAACATTCCAATTAATTTTAATAGGGCTACTTAATTTCCTTTCAAAGGAAATTACCCAGCCTTGAATTTGAACTGACCCCACAAATTAGGAAATTAAAAATTTATATTTGTCTCTTGCCCCAGAACTGCCTGTCATATACCTGTACTTGTATACTACTGTATACTATAGTGGTACAGGCTGGTAAATAACAAGTTTTATTCATTAAAAGTTATTAAATTAAAAGTAAAAACGGGTCTCTGTAATGTATAATTTGATTGAATTTTCCACCTCTGATTAGGATTTGAAAACAATTTTTCAGATAATTTTTTCCCCATGGAAAATGACTTTTTTTTAAATAGCAAATTGGCAAATTTTTAAATTATTTCCAAATGTGATGAGGGTAGAGATGTGAAACTGGCAATTAATTTGATGTGGCCTTAATAGCTAATTCTATTTAAATAAATTTAATACAGTATTACATTGCCACATCATGGTACCATGAAGCACTGATTCATATTGAGCAAATACCTACCAAGTGGTTGTATCAGCTGAGTATTGCCATGTCAAGGTATTCCAAGTGAAAAGCGTATTTACTTGAGAAACAAGTTGATGATATATACAAATTGATAGAAAGCGAAAGTAATGAGTACTCAGGGAGGACAAACTGAGGAGTGTCTGTAAAAGTACAAATGTATGTGATATAGCATCACCTTTCATACCATCTGACCAATAAGGATTATTAATTGCCTGTCCTTGTCTAGTACCTGGGAAACTCATCAACATTCCCAAATGATGTGTGGTCACTTGAATTAAGGCAAATGACCTTAAGGTAAATGACCTTCCTAAGCTTGGTGTATAAGGCTATGTTCACACACACGGCGTAAGACTGGCGTGGCTTACGCCAGGCGTAAGCTAATCCACGGATTAAAATTCCAAAGTGTTCACACAAACGGCGTTCGTTAAACTAGCAGTAATATAGGCCTATGTGGAATAGTTTTCAGTTTTAAATAATGTACGTGTTAACAGTAGTAAAATTAACAGTGCATCATTAAAGCTTTTAAATCTGTGAATTGTTCGAAGTGAACTTATATGATTATTGTATTTAAAATGAACAATTTTACTTTTGATTTTTCAGCTAGCATTGTTGATGTTGCATGTTTTAATAGACAGTCTAAATGGTTAAAATATCTTACAAAACACAATCAATAAATCATATACATTTATAACTGAGTAAAATGCAATAGAAAAGGAACCCTTTCACCATTTCATTTATAGAGAGCACAGAAAAGAGACCAAAGTAGCTAATATATTGCAATCGTGATTGGTCAATCTCTTGAAATGAGGTCAAATCATTCAAGCATCACTGGCGTTAGCTTAGTGGCGTTAGCTAATCTGGGGTCTGCAGGTAGCGTTAATAACGCCAAGGACGTGGCGTAGTGAGTGGCTTTAACAACGCCACTGCCTAGTTCACACACAAAGGCGTACGCTACGCCATGCTTAAGCCAGCCTTACGCCGTGTGTGTGAACATAGCCTAACCCATGAAGTTGGGATATTAGTTAAAAATGCAAGGTATTATTTACACACAGATCCTATATACAAATTTACAGATGGTAGTACTGCTACAGTACCATGTAGCACTGCTTCATTCCTGAGCATTAACTACTTATCAAGTGGTTGCGTCGGCCGAGTGTTGCCACATCAAGGTACAATGTAGCACCGCTTCATTGGTTGCATCAGCTGAGTGTAGCCACGTCAAGTAGCACTGCTGCATTACTGAGCATTAGCTACCTACCAAATGTTTGTATCGGCTAAGTGTTGCCACGTCAAGTTACCATGTAGCACTATACTGCTTCATTACTGAGCATTAACCAACTACCAAATGGTTGCATCGGCTGAGTGCTGCCACGTCAAGGTACCATGTAGCACTGCGTCACTGAGCATTAACTACCTATTAAGTGGATGCATCAGCCGAGTGTTGTCACGTCAAGTTACCATAGCACCGTTTCATGATACACTGAGCCACTACCTATGAAATGGTTGTACCAGCTAAGTGTTCACCCAAGGTACCATGTGGCACCGCTTCATTATTGGGCAACTACCTACCAATTACAGACCTGTAGACAGGGGGTGCAGAGGATTCAGATGCACCCCCTCCTAAATCCCAAAAAGGTCCCCCATTTTTGTATATTATTTCCAAAAATTGTTTCTAATTAAAACTAAATGCTATAATATGCATTGTATTTTGTAGTTGCCAGCTCTTCTAACGATAACGGTTGTACCAACTGAGTGTTCACTTCAAGGTACCATGTAGCACCACCTCATTATTGGGCAACTACCTACCAATCAATATGCACAATGTTATCTTAGACCTACTGATCAAATGGTACAGGACTTCTTCAGGTCCCTAAAAACTCAAAGTAATGAAAATTGAAATAGAATATTCACAGAATTGGTTTGAGAAATCAATTACAGTACATAAAAGGACCTCAAAATGCTACTTTGTGGAAGCTTCCTGAGGTTTTCCCCCAAACCCCCTCTCCAGGCCCCTGGACCCCTAAATTTAAGAAAGTCCACTTTTTAAAACCTATTATTTCACTAAAATCATTCCTAATTATCACATCCTAGACTCCCCCCAGAAAAATGTACCTCCACAAAAATTACGGGCCTGAAGTGGCTGTATCAGCTGAGTTGTCACTTCAAATTACCATGTAGCTCTGTATCAGCTGAGTATGAGGCGCCATCTGTTAACTTATTATTTAGCAAAAATAACATGGCTTTTTACGTTATATATTTATATATTATTTTATATAATATATAATATTTTATATAATATATAATATTTTATATAATATATAATGTTTTATATATAAAATATTATATATTATATAAAAAATTATATATTATATAAAATATTATATAATATATAATTTTTATATATTATATAAAAAATTATATATTATATAAAAAATTATATATCTGTCTCTTATACACATCTATATTTTTAT